TCAAATGGGTAAAAACCGAATGCCATCATTTTTGTGCGCAGATAATTTCTTCTTTGTTGAAAGACATCCTCGATTAAAGTTGAATTTGCCCAAGACACTTCATCCAATAAATCAACAGAGGTATACATATCCACCGAATTATCTTGAAACCGATATACCACACGTCCATCCCTTAAGTATCGTTTCACCGGTTTTGGATTCGGATCAATTGTTTTTCCAAGTTCAATTATGCTAAGATCGACCGTACTACCACGACTGTGACCCGATGTCGGTGTAATGTAACCATATTCAGCTGTTTGTTTTCGGGTTAAAAGTGGATGATAATACTTTTTCGTTTTACAATCATTCTCGGTTGAATTGGTCCACTTCATAAAATCGAGAAGAGCTTTGGATGGACGATAGCCATCATAAATTACCAATGAGAAATTATCTTTTTTGATGTCAGCTTGAATGTCCTTCAATCTGAATGCGGCTTCTTTTGTCAAAATTAATTTTGGCGCTTTGTAGCCAGATAGTCGATGGCCGATGAAATTTTGATCACCATAATACATAACGTTTTGAATTATGGTGGGATCAACTTCACTGAGGTATACAAAACCATTCGGCAGCACTGAGCTTACACCAAGCACAATTGCGAACAAAGGCAATGAATACAAAAAAATCTTTGCAAGCGCCATTGTAGCGGCGCAATTTTTCTAAACTGATGAAATAAATGCGATAAAAAATTGCTAACCATCGACTGATGATTTTTAGCGAATAATGGTGTATTTATACTGATATTTTCATCTATTATCTTACATAAAGTGGCAAAGTTAGAGGTCATTTTTTACACAGATCGATTACATTTTAACAAAATAAACAAATAATGACAGCTCAACTGCGATAGTTGTAAAGCAATAAATCTTCTTCAGCGCTTTCAAAATACAAATATATTTCTCTGAGAAACAGTCTCTGAAAAAACATGACAAAATTATCTACTCGCATTCTTTCATCAAACTGATAAAAAAACTTATACAGATGAAATACTTTTTATAACTAACACATGCCGTATAACTTGGCACATTAATTAACAATGTGATTATAAAAAAATCACAAAATATCTACAGAAGTGATTGTTAAGTAAATTTATAACGATAAAAAAATCGTTTGTACAGTGTACACAAGAACAAAGTGGAAAGAAATTAGGGAGAAAAGCAAGTCATTTTGATAACTAACTCCACATGGAAACCGAAATTTTGGCTTGCGTACGTTAACTTCTTTAACATATGTCCATAAAGTCTTGGCACCAAATTCAGACGTTCGAATAGCACATTCACTTTACACTGAACGAACCATTGTCTTCGATCTTTCTCAGTATGCGTCGAACCTTCAAAATCATGCTTTGGCAGACCGATTTGTCGATTTCTTTCAACTTTCTCTCAATCCATGCAACCAATTGTTGCACGTTTCAAGTATTTTGGACCTTCGCCTATAACATACAACCAAAAACAGACGAGAAATAATCAATATGGTGTTTTTTTCTGAAGTTAAAAAGATGGTCCTTTTTCCATGGAAATGCTATTTTTTAAGAAGTGAGGCATTATTGTGGTTTTTTCTGCTTGCAAAACACAACTTTGTCTTTAATCAGATAGCTCTCAACGAATTCTATCGATTTCAACAATTTATACACGCACACATATGTTGCTGCGAATGTTGTATGCAATATATGAAGAGAATGAAAGCTATTGAGAGTGAATGTATTTTGGTCATCGATTTCAGTTTTGTGTTGACAATTTATATTGCGCAGTTGTGTTTGTAAACAGAATGCCATGCGTTGAGAAATAACATGTAAGGATGAGCGAGATAGCATTGAACTAAGATTTGGGTGACAGAAATAGCAAATTTCTACATTCGGTTGCACCAGATGATATAGGCCATTTGGTTTTGCATACTCTGAGAAAACTCAGATGTTAAAATTCAAAGTAATCAGAGCAAAATGCCATTTTAACATGGAGATATTTTGTCACATGTTAAAATGCAGTAAAACCCGCAAAGAAATGTGTTGCGGATAAAATGACATTTTACCACGTGAAAAAATACATCCATGATAAAATGGCATTTTGCTCTGATTACTTTGAATTTTAACATCTGAGTTTTCTCAGAGTAAGAATTGAGAAAAAAAATCTCCTCCGAGAGTTTCATAAAAGCCTCCCATATAGATGATGAAAAATCGAAAAAAATGAAAAAAATAATTAAATTTTTTTTCTTCGATTTACAAATACTACTCAATTTTCTGTATCATCTGGTGATGATAAACTCGCATTCCTTATCATCTTAATTAGAAATTTGCAACTGAGAAAATTTTAATAAAATTTCTATTAACATTCTAATAAAAAATCTACTAAGACCTAATAATTAGTAGTTGTTAGTAGTTAATAAAATAATAATTATTACTTCTTAGTGGCTACTAAGAACTACTAAGTAATAAAATAATAAAAATGATGAAACCAATAAACTAATAAAAATTCTACTAATTAGTAGAAAAATTAACACCTATGATTTCCCCTAGACTTTTCATATTTTGTATTGCACAAACCGTTTTCTGTATGATTATCAATAACAATAATAAATCGTTAATGATTTTGGTAAGCGTCTACTTTAATGATGTAATCGATCAGTTGTTAGCGATAAGATAAATTTGAAAACCTCCTTTAAGAGCGTCAATCAAGTATCTATATGATGTACGCAGTTTACGCTCATTGTTATCGTAAATAAAAAGTCTTACGGGAGTAAGACGAACTTTTCCGCACTGTGGTAGTTGCGTATTTTATTAAGAAAGTTCAAAATAATATTTGTTCGATTTTTCAAGCCTTTTAAGCGTCGTAAAGTTCGAAACCAAAAAAATATGTTTCAACTTTGGCAACGAAATATTTTTTAATTTAATAGCAGAAGTGCCCGAGAAAAGATTTTTCACACTTTCATGATGAACCCATTTGTACGACATTTGAAAGTATTCTATTTTCTAACAAAATACTATAAAAAATATGTCTGACGTTAATTTTGCCATAAAAATTATTTTTGAAACACTTTCCATAACTAAAGTCACAAAAAATTTGGATCTTTGTATGGGAGCCATGTCTGTATGCTATATTAATGGTGTGAAACTTTGCACAGGTTATTTTTTCACAAAAAAATAACATTCGTAGGGTTTGGAGAAATTTCAACCAAAATTAAGAGTACCTCCCATGCAAAATATTCGTTTTTGAGCCAAAAATTGAAAATTTTGTATGGGAGGTACCCCTAATTTTGATTGAAATCTCTTCAAACTTTCAGAATGTTATTTTTTCGTGTAAAAAATAGACTGTGCAAAGTTTCACGTCATTGAGGTAGCATACAGGCATGGCTCCCATACAAAAATTCATTTTTTTTGTGATTTTTTCAAGGAAACTGTATTAAAAATTGATTGTATCTCAAAAATAACCTCAGATTCGGTTTTCTCGTGCCAAAAAACCTCCCAATACATATTTTTGAATGTTTAAGTCCACATTAAGTATGACTTTTGGACGAAAATTGGACTCTTTTTCATAGGTATCACTCCAGGCATGACATTTTTTCCCATCAACCAAAGTCGCTCAAAAGCTAATGATTTCTATTCCTCGGGACCCCCAATCATCCTGTAAAGTCAGATTTTGAATTAAGTTTCTACGATGAGCGCAATCTTGCTAACAAATTTTGCGTACGACGTACAACGTACGACGTACGACGTACGACGTACAGATTAACATAAACCATGCTCAAATCGGCCTGATTCGGGTTCTCTGACCTCAGAAACGTCCAGAAAACATGTTTCTGAAGTTTTCAAAATTTTGACCGATTACAATACTTTTCACCTTACACTATGTGTGCGGAAAAGTAAAATTGTATTGGTTCAATTTATTTTTTATTTTTGTTAATTCACGTAGCATACCCACAATCTTGAATTCAAAAAATTGACATGTGAATCTGTTACTGTATCACCCGGTGCAGATAAAATAAATTAAATCCCAAAATTGAATTCACGAGATTTTCTTCAAAAAGACAAAAGAGCAAATAACGAAACAACTTTAGTCATAGAAATGCGAAAAATTGTCAATTTTCGTGTTTAAACCACGAAAAATGTACATTTTTTAATGATCGTATTATTTTTGTACAGATTTATCAAGTTTTTAAAAAGTTTATTCAATGTAATTTTTCATCATTTAAATTGTTGTTGTTTGTGTTGTAATTATGTAAAAAAAAACATAATTCCATTCAAAGTCAATAGAATTCATAACAGTTCGATTTTCATCAATATGAAACACATTTCCCTTGATGTTGAACACACCATTCCGGTGCCAATCTTTCCGCAGCAATACCATTCTCGGCCAATCTCTCTCGATGAATCAACATCCGTGATACAGCTTTTGGCCAAGTCGTTGACGGATTGGTCCACAATCGTTCGGCCAAAGCACTTAGGCGCGGCCACGTTCTTCCGTCCAATGTTAAATGATCCACTTGCTCAGACCAAAGAGCCGCTTCACCACCCAAAAATTGTGACTTATACTTTTCGCCAAAGTATTCAAAATCGTTATCATACACTTTCTTCCAGTCTTTATAAGGCGAACACCAATTATTCCCATCTCGCAACCAATGACCAAATCCACAATCAAAATAAAAATTGTCATAATTCGATAAAATCAATTTATAACCTCTTTCAAGAAGATCCGTTATGACTGTATCATTCTTTTTCGTCCAAATCTGCAAATGGACGGTTATTCATCTCTTTTGATCCACTTGACAAAACATCTTAGAACAAAAATCAATTTTGAAACAACGAATCTCAACCTACCTGAATAATATGTCTTTCTTTATCAAGATGCTTCTCAACATATTCTTTTCCCGTCAACGTACTTGTCCACAGTATAATCGAAACATTCGTTGCGGTGACCCGATCCATTCGTTCCAAGGCTTTTTGTTGAAAGAAACCCCAAAGCTCCATAAAGCCATTTGTATCCAGCTGCAAACCGTGGTCTTGAATCCAATTTCGAATGTCCTCACTCACTTCCCAACATTTTTCGAACACCTCATCGCCGCCCATGTGAAAGCGATCCGGTTTACCAAACGCATCGTACATTTCACGGTAAATGTCTTCGAGAATGTCATAAACATGGTTTTTAGTTGGATCAAGTTGACCACATGCCGGTACCGCACAGTAAATGTGCCATGGTTCCATATTTACACAAGTCGTTACATTTTTTTGCCATCCCGCACTGACATGAGCCGACGTATCGAATTCTGGTAACAGCAACACACCACGAACATACGCATAGTCGCGCACCTTGAAGAAGAAGATAAAAGAAAATGTATAGAAGGTCAAAGGAACCAAGTTTCTTTTTGAAAAACTAAGAAAATCGTCTAGAAAATTAAAAATTATGATCGAAACCTCTTTAATATTTTCAATGGTGTAAACTTTGTCAGATGAATAAGCGCCATGTTGTGCCATTTCTGGATGTGATATCAATACCATCGGAAAGCTCTGTGAATCACTAATGTGCCAATGAAACACATTTAGTTTCACCATTGCCATGCCGTCTGAAAAGTTATGAAAACAAAACATGATTTTTCTTTCATCGAAAAAACTGAAGTTGTACTTTACCGATTGTTCTTTTAATCGAATCCAATGGGAAATAATTGCGAACGGTATCCAATAAGAAACCTCGATGAGGAAATGCAGGTTGGTCATCAATTTGAAATTCGTCAACGATAAATAGGCCGTCACTATCACTATCGAAGACAATCAACTGTGACATTGTTTCAAGCGCGTGACGAGCACCGAATATTGTTTCGGCCGTAATATTTGCCACAACAACCCCATTCGCTTCTTTGTGTGCTTGAATTTGGTAGTGTTCATTGGTATGCAAATTTAATTTTCCATCTGTATTTTCCACATTGATTCCAATCACCATTTCGTAATCATTTTCTGTTATTTTCAAACTTGGAGTGATTTTTCTTGAAATTTGCTCACGAAAACGGTGCTCGTTTGCTTGCCAAAATTGATCATTACTTTTGTTATGAATATCAAATCGAATTGCATTCGGATTTAGTCGAATTATTGATTTTTTCAATTTTGCATGGCCATTTACACGAGGCCATAGTGTACCAGGATTCACATCACAAAGCAATTGACACACAGCCAAACTCTGTTTTTCAACGTCTTTTCCACTTTCCAATTCGACACGATTGCATTTGTGCTCGATACATTCATAGGTCCATAGTTCGCTAAGCGTATAGAAAGAAATATTAGATTTAAAAATATCGACATATTTTACGGAGAAATGGTTGGTTAA